AGTGAATATACCCTTAAAGTTATATAAGCTTAGGTACTCAAACTCACCATAGTACGTCGTTTTGTATTATATAATGCATTCTAATTGTCCAATGTTCTTATAATTTAACTTCCAACTTGATTTACTTCCATGATTTTTATATATTACACATTTATCTTCCTCTTAAATAATTTTCATTTTCAACTACAATATATATAGCGTAGTAAGTGTTCGGTAAAAACATGCGATGTAAGAGAAATATAATAATTAAATTTTGAAAATGTTGAAAGTAAATCAAATTAGGGGTTGAAGTTTAAAAACATTATTATGAATATATCAAACAAAACGATATATCTAATCTTATATACCCTTAAGGTATATATATATATATATATATATATATATATATATATATATATATATATATATATATAACACAAGCCAAAGTTGCATTATTGCATATACATGACACATCTCAATCATAATTTTAGGAAAAAAATCAAAATGAAATGAAAAACTCATTTGTCCCCAAAAGGGACACCACTCATCCCCTTGTCTCTCTCCTCTCCATTGAAACTAGCCACATCTGACTTTGATATTAATGTGATTTCTTATAGTAAAAAAAATTATTACCTAAAAGTTATTGATAACAAATATAAAACTGTTATTGTAAATCATACATAGTACGAAATAATGATAACGACTTATCTTTTACCTGCTTTTTAGTGTTCTCCAAGTAGGTATATTATGACAAGTTTGAATTTCAAAACACTTATAGTTATATTACTTTTTTTTCTTCATTAAAACACTTTATATTCTCCAAGTTATAATTTGCAGCTTGCTCTGATGTTAAAGAAAATGAGAATTTATATGTAAAATACAATGTATGTCAATATGCTTTTTTTCCTTTTATTTATAATATTTGTTTAAAATGGATATTTTTTCTGAAATAATTGCTTCTCTTTCTCTCATACAAACTGTGCATCTTTGCAGCTTTTCTTTTTTGAGCACTTACGCCCCCAGCCACCCATTTGCTGTACCACCACCACCACCACTCCCTATCTTCTTTCTCGCTCTATAATCTTTGCTTCTTTTTATACTAACAAACATCCCACATCTTTCTTCACTAAACTCTACTCTTCTTCCCTCACAATTTTCTCACAAATCCACAAATGGAAGCCGGATGGAGGAGTTCTTTCAGTTCTAGTTGCAGCTGCGGCGATGGCGGAGTTGGCGGTGGTGGTGGTGGTGGTGATAGCGGGGGACAGAATTGTAATTTCTCAGCAAACAATGCATGGGATATCTGGGACATTGGTACTCCTACTACCACTACTACTAACACTGCTTCTGGTACACGTTATGATTGGGGCAATCACGACGCCAGTAGCATTTCAAGCGCCGCCGCTGCCGCCAGGGGAACGGAGGAGAGTGTGGTCCACGCGCTTCTATTTGGTATGACCAGTACTGGCAACACCACCATCCAAAACAACGCCGGCTTCGGGTCGAATTCCATCCACCAGCGGATGCCTGACCCGCACATGATGTGTTTGAAGCTGGGGAAGAGACACTACTGCGAGAACTCCGTCGTACCTGACCGACATATGGAGGCGGAGTCATCCTCCTCCACCAAGAGAGGTAAACCACCGTATCCGTATCACCTGACTGATACCGCAACAACAACCACCATCACCGTGTGGCCGTCTTCCCCGGCAGCGGTGGCGCCGAGATGCCAGGTGGAGGGGTGTGGCGTGGCGCTTTCTGACACCAAGGAGTACTACCGGAGGCACAAGGTGTGTGAAATTCATTCAAAGGCTCCAAAAGTTGTGGTCTTGGGGCTTCAACAGAGATTCTGTCAACAGTGCAGCAGGTTTCACCGCGTGACGGAGTTTGATGAAGCAAAGCGGAGTTGCAGAAGACGACTTGAAGGACATAATCAAAGAAGAAGAAAGGGTACCCTTCCGAATTCTCTTCCTCGAAACTTCCCTAATTCTCAAGGTACTTTAATGGCGGAACGGCAACTTCGACAATCACCAACGTCACCGCCTGCATACCTGCAGAAGCCAGGATGTGCTCTCTCTCTTCTGTCATCACCGAAAACTGAACCCTGGATGTCCTCCGGCGACCTGTCGTTAAGATGCAGCGCTGCGCTTTCTGACCTTATTGCTGCGAACCGAGCAACTGCAGTTGTCGGACATTTCTGGAATCAAAATGGTTCTCAACAACAAGTTATTGAGAATATGATCCACACACCACCTGACACACAAATGTGGGATCGATCATTCAACGATGACGATCATACGACCATGACGCTTGACCTAATGCAGGCTAGCTCCAGCTTTGGATTTTGGCCTTTTGTCCACCAAGGAGAAGTCTAGCCTAGGAGACCCTTCTGTATTATTATTATTATTATTTTTTAAATTGTCAATTTGTTTTTCTTCTTTTCAAGTGTTTCACTTTCACCTAATAATGGATTTTGTACCATTTCAGAATTCAAATACAAAAAAGTTGTATGTTATGTTATGTATTATTGTATCAACTAGTGTTATCTTATTTGTAGTTCACTTTGGATGGTCTCGAAAAGTGACTTTTGTTGGGCGTTGGCCCAAATGTACCAACCCCATTAAGGTGCACAAAATTGGTGTTTTAATGGTCCATGTCCGGTTTGTTTTTAGGGAGTAGATGTAAGTCGGTTTAGTTCTTGAAAGGCTATGGAAAAAAAAACTGTGAACTGGTATGATCCGTCTAATCTTGTTTCGAATGGTTTTTTCCCAATTCGTTTCTTAACCAATTTCAGTTATCAGGTCTTAATAAGCTTTCCAATTTCTTGAATATGATCCGGTTAAATCCAACCCCGTAAGAGAAATCGATTTTCATTCTATCTGGTTTCGGGATCGGAACCGGATCCAAATTAGATAACCGGTTTGATTTGTATCTCTATCCAAATTAAATAACCGATTTGTGACTATCACTTGCTATTAAATCATTGAGCAATTTTGTAATAGGTTTGGAGTTGGTTTGTTTAAGAAACAACTATTATTGTATACATTATAAGGAGAAAGTAAATGAAAACCAAAGTTTTCAATATTAGTTGGGAATGGACATTCAATAAATTATTGTATCGAAGCAAAACTCAATTTGGGTGCCTCTTAAACTTGTGTCACATGTGGGGAAATTTTCCCTGGAAACCCCTATGGGGGCTGGGTTTGCCCTGTAAAGGAGCTCGAACCCGGGGTGCTCGTTGAAATATGCGAGTAGGCTTCCGTTTAATCATTTGCCGTTTCCAAAAAAAAATCGAAACTTACCAAAACATTACAATTGTTTTTGGATGGTTGAAAATAAAAAGTGTTTTATCGCCTTACTGAAATGAAAGGGCTATTATAAGTTATAACATAAGTTGGGTTGAGGCTAGGGATGTCAAAAACCCCCGCGGGACCCCGATACCGTACGGGACTAATTTTAAAAAAAAATTCGGGAGCAGGGGCGGGAGCGGGGGCGAAATTAACCCCCGTTTATTTTCGGGACCGGGGTCGGGAGTAAGTATTTCCGTCCCGTACTTCCGCGGGGCCCCGTTTATATTTATATAAAAAATATATTTATTTAATGTAAAATAGAAATGGGTTATGGGAAACTAATTTTAATATTAGGGCTTCACAAATCATCGTTGCCTTAAGCTTTATTCGGTCTTCCTCTTCCCAAAGACCCAAACAGTGAACGACGAATCGAGTCAATCGACGATCGACTAGCAGCTAGCTTCGAGCCTTCAATTGGAGAGTGGATATTGACGAGAATAGGACCGACTCCGAGAGTCCGAGTCTTCGACAGTTTGACTGCTAGTCTGCGACTTCTCGACCTAAGATGCGACCGGCGACTGTGACTTCACGATTTCTGTTTCTCGCTGATAGTTTCATTTTATTTACTTATTTTTATAGTTTATTTTAGCATATTTCATCTATAATTTAGTTAATTTCCATGCATATTTTCCTTTTTGTTATTTTATGACCATTTCGGGTACTTTCTAGTTTTGTGAGCTTAATTGCAGATTTTAAGGAGATTAGCGGAGTGGGATCTTTAGGAAGCGATTGGACTTAGAGGACGTCGAGGATTTTGAGCTTGATGGGTAGTGGGGATGATGCATAGAGCGAACTTGATGATTATTTGAAGGCTTGGAGAGAAACAAACTTTAAATTTGCAAGATGCGGGAGAATATTCAAGCGTGCGTAGATTATTAATCGGGGGATTTTTCGAGCTATGGATCATTTAGAGAAACCAAATTGGGCTTAAATTGAAGAAAACTTGAAGAAAAATGGGCTAAGAGCTGATTGGACTCGAACTGGGCCA